GGGGTAAAAATGACGTTTATTCTAATTCTAACCAACTTATGTTAAGGAATTCAGTTGCGTATCACTAGTTGACAATAGCGGAATAGCCAATATTAAATATTCTGAATTTTTAAATGTTTTGAGAATCTAAAAATTTTCCAGAATGTTTTCTCAGAATGCTGGAAATGCCATTTCAGAGACCCAAATATTAAAAATTTTCCGGGGGAGTATGCCCCGGACCACCCTAGAAATCTCGCGCCTTCGGCGCTCGTTTCGCCATTGGTTAGCACCCCCCCAAAAAAACTTTGCTGGATCCACCACTGCCCTTGTTGCATTCTATTTCTTCCTTCTCATTCTTCCAATTCTATCCTTTCACTACATTTCATTCTTTCTTCCCTTTATTAATTCAAACCTGGATTCCATTTAATGAATGATTCGAGCTATAGACTAAATTTTGATCTAGGCAAGAAGAACAAAATCCATCACCACAGCTAGAAAGAGCATGTTAAAATTAGTAAAATTGCAAAGTTTGGCCGCGAAATGTTGTGAAATGAGGAAAATATAGCCCTGCGAAATTTGCAAATGTTGTTATTAAGTAAATTACTTTGTATTACGCGCGGGAAAATGCACCACTTTCGGCCCAAATCTAGTTGTTACAAATCTGTTCTCAAGCTGTTGACAAGTTGTGTTCGCACTGCTTGTTCCCAGTTGTTGTAACCAGTTTGGAACAAGCTGTTAACAATTTGCAACAAGCTTGATGGCATTATCAGACTTGTTACAAGGTTGTTCTAACAAGCCTGATACAATCATGATATAACAAGTATGTTACAAGTTTGTAACAATATTGTTATGTCATAACTGTATCGGATTTGTTGGAACAACCTTGCAACAAGTCTGATAATATCAACAAGGTTGTTACAAGTTGTTACAAGTTGTTTCCAAACTTGCTGACAACTTGTGACAAGCAGTGCGAACACAACTTGTTGACGGCTTGTTGGCAGACTTGCTATAAGATGTGAGATTTTTGCGTGTGTAATTGTAAGGATCGGTACACACATAAAAATCTCACAACTTGGCAACGGGATGTGTTCGCAACAGGCTTGTAGCAAGCTTGTTAACAAGTTGTAACAATGCTGTTATTTTATCAAGTTGCTACAAGATTTTCACTCACAATTTGTTGATAAATTGTTGAATTGCAGGACGATAACAAGTTGTTGGAACAACTTGTAACAAGTCTGTTGAGCTCAGCAACCTTGTAGTAAGTTGTGAACAAGCCGTTGACAACGAGTCAACAAGCTGGGAACAAGCAGTGCGAACACATCCTGTTGACAAGTTGTTTGGAACAGCATTGCTACAAGTCTGCTGCAGGTTTGTTACAACTTGTGCGTTTTTATGCGTGTGCCTCAAGTCTTCGTATTCTATCATATATAGTATATTTTCCAAATACATACACAGATCATGATCAATTTAATATTCAAACAAATACTCAAATACTCAATTTAATATTCCTTAACTGTTTTCCACATTTGGGATTGTGGTGATGGCGTATGTTTGAACACCATTCAAGATCATGCAAGTACAGTGAAGGTAAGAAAATGCATGAATTACACGCAATAATCTCACATCTTGTAGCAAGTCTGCCAACAAGTTGTGTTCGCACTGCTTGTCCCAAGTTGTCAACAAGTTTAGAACAAGCTGTTAACATCTTGTAACAACCTTGTTGATATTATCAGACTTGTTGCAAGGTTGTTCCAAAAAGTCCGATACAGTCATGACATAACAATATTGTTACAACCTAATTGTGTCGTCAAACTTGTAACATTCTTGTTATATCAATGACTGTATCAGACTTGTTAGAACAACCTTGTAACATTCTTGTTATATCAAGACTGTATCAGACTTGTTAGAACAACCTTGTAACATTCTTGTTATATCAAGACTGTATCAGACTTGTTAGAACGACCTTGTAACATATCTGATAATACAAGTTGTTAACAGTTTGTTCCAAACTTGTTACAACAACTGGGAACAAGCAGTGCGAACACAACTTGTCGACAGCTTGTGAACAGATTTGTAACAACTTGTTTACAGACCTGTAACAACTTGTGCGTTTTTACGTGTGTAGAACGTCCGTCAACAAGTTGTGTTCGCACTGCTTGTCCCAAGTTGTCAATAAGTTTGGAACAAACTGTTAACAACTTGTAACAACCTTGTTGATGATATCAGACTTGTTGCAAGGTTGTTCCAACAAGTCTGATACAGTCATGATATAACAATATTGTTACAACCAAGTTTTTTTGTATCGTCTATATCATGACTGTAACAAGTCTGATCATGCCATCAAGCTTGTTCCAAACTTGTTACAACAACCAGGAACAATTAACAGTGCGAACACAACTTGTCGACAGCTTGTGAACAGATTTGTAACAACTTGTTTACAGACCTGTAACAACTTGTGCGTAAATGTAACAAGGTTGTTGTGGAGCCGATATCAGGATGTGTTCGCACTGCTTGTTCCCAGTTAGTGTGACAAGTCTGGAACAAGTTGTTATCAATCTTGTTACATGATTGATGACGGTAACACACTTGCTACAAGTTGTTCCAACAAGACGAATACAGGCTGTTCATAACAAGTTGCTGCGAGCTTGTTGTCATCAACTTGTCACGTGCAGAGGATATCAGACTTGTTGCGAGTTTGTTGGCCTCATCAACCCTGTTACAAGATGATAACAACTTTTTTCAGACTTGTCAACAACTGGGGACAAGCAGTGCGAACACAACTTGTTGACAAGCTGTAAGATTTTTACTCGTGTATAAGAGAAATCTTACTAAACAAAAATCCAGATTTTTTAATTCCTTTGACCAATTTTTTCTAAACTTGTTTTCAATTCAATTTTAGTGTCTGGTGAATGTGAATGCACATGATTTCATGTTTTGCTCTGGAGGGAAAGATTTATGCCTCTGGGATATTGAAGGAAAACTTCTCTGTCAAGAAGTGCAACCTGATAATGACTGTAAGTCTTGCCTTGCTATGATGACGTAATTTGCTTATTACATTGCTGAAGTCGGTTGTGTGAATGCCGGGTACACACGTAAAAACGCACAAGTTGTAACAAACCTGCAGCAGACTTGTAGCAATGCTGTTCCAACAACTTGTCATCAGGATGTGTTCGCACTGCTTGTTCCCAGCTTGCTGACAACTTGCTACAAAGTTATTGAGCTCAACAGACTTGTTACATTGTAACAAGTTTGGAACAAGCTGTTAACAACTTGTAACAAGCTTGATGGCTTTATCAGTCTTGTTACAGGGTTGTTCCAACAGGTCTGATACAGATATGATATAACAAGTATGTTACAAGGTTGACGACACAAGGTTATAACGATATTGTTGATGTTGTTCCAACAACTTGTTATCGTCCTGCAATTCAACAAGTTGTGAGTGACAACCTTGTAGCAACTTGATAAAATGACAACATTGTTACAACATGTTGACAAGCTTGCTACAAGCCTGTTGCGAACACATCATGTTGACAAGGTGTGAGATGTTCACGTGACAACAGCGGTTTAACTATTCGTGCTAATCTCAAAATCGTTGTAAAAATGCGTGAAAAGTTGCATGTATATATTTATTATATCTGAAATTTCATACTTTTTCAGCTGATGTTCATTCAATTTTGCCGATAAAGAAAGACAGGCTTGTTGTTGCATTCAGCAGACAATCTCTCGGTATTATTTTATTATTTGCTTCTTTATTCTCATTGTGTACTTTGCATGTTTTTGCTGACATTTCAATCTTAATCCTAACCTTAATATCAAATCTTACTTTCTGATCTTAGCAATCTTAATCCTAACCCTATATTTAATCTTAGCATAATGCTAATTCTAATCTCTTTTTATAGTTGTATATACGATATCGGAAATTTTACAGAATAAATCGTTTAAGTTTCATTCTCGGCTACGACCTCATCGAGATGATGTACGATGTCTAACAAGCGTAACAGGTTGGTCCACGTAATTATGATCTGTATCTAGTATAAAATATAAATTGAACTAAAGGTCTCGGGTTCGATTACCCACTGCGGTCAAGCCAACGTTTCAGCTTGCCCAGTGTGCATACCAGGCCTCAAATTTCCCTGAAGTCAGAATTTCCCTGAAGAGGCAGTGGTGTTAAAAATTGCCGTAGAACGTAACAGCTATCTACGACAATTTTGACAGTTTCCACGGCATTTTTTCAAATTACTGTAATAAAAATTTTATTGTTACTTTGGATTGTTGAGAAGCTAGAAACATGTTTACGTATTTCTTTAGTGTTTTTTTTTCGAAGAAAACTGAGACAAAAATAGTAATTTACGTATGATTTGATCAACATCTGAATTCGAGTATCAAAATAGTAATGCACAGTGAATAGAACAAAAATTACACAATACGGAAAAAAATTGCCGTCGTTGCCACAATGATCCACGGCATTTTGTTCTCCCTCTACGGCAATTGCCGCGATAAAATTCAAGCCCTGGTGAACACAATCAGAAACAACAACATGCATAACACCAGAAACACACACAAAAAATTATGTAATTTTTTTTTTAGACGAAAGTTTTGTTTCAGCATCTTTGGATGGTGAGATAATCGTATGGTCAAGTAATACTTTACAGCCAATCAAACAGTTCAACGAAATTCGCGAGTTTGAAGGCGACAGTCATTTATATCCATACAGTGTTCAACATTTGTTTGTGCTTGACCAGGTGAGATACACGTCTATATCGTCTATTAGCACGCCCGAGTTAATATATATAAGCCACCACGTCTATTGTCAAAAAAAATACTGCCGTCTCATTAGTATTCTTTATATAAAGAATACTAATTAGGATGGACTTTTATATCAAGAATACTGATGAAAATGAGTTTTGTCAGGTATAAAGCCTCTTCACATGACATGTTATGGTTGACATGATTTGCCAATGAGTGTTTGAATTCTGTTCACAATATATGAAGCGATTCAAGCGAAACACTTGTTAGAAATACTCTTTGTCTTCTGGATTTCTCTGAGTAATTCTTCTGAGCAATCCGTCCCAAAGACTCTGTTGTTTCTTTTTCCAGAGGTTTATTTTTGCTGCAGTGGGTGCTGGATTTTCCATTTATGACGCACTTTCAGGTGAATATTGATAGTTGCCCGCTGTAGTGCTATTATAAACGATGAACAGTCACAACAAAGAATATATATTAGCAGATATATTACATCATATTTGGAAAAAATCAACAATCCTTAAATTATTCTTATTGTTTCAGGAAAATGTGTGGCTCAACGAGAGAACGTACATCACTCGAAAGTCTCCTATATCCAGTTGCTCAATGAAAGGTACAGTATACGTGAATTTTATTCACGGCAACTAATTTTCATGTCCAACTTGCCCTGGCAAGTGCTCAAAAAAGTAAAGTTCTACCACTGAACTTGTTAATAAGCTTGCTACAAACCTATTGCAAACACATCTTGTTGACAAGTTTGTTGGAACAGCATTGTCAAAACTTGTTAACAAGCTTGCTACAAGCCTGTTGAGGAGACATCTTGTTGACAAGTTGTTGGAACAGCATTGTTACAACTTCTTAACAAGCTTCCTACAAACCCATTGCAAACACATCTTGTTGACAAATTGTTGGAACAGCATTGTCACAACTTGTTAACAGGCTTGCTACAAACCTGTTGAGAAGACATCTTGTTGACAAGTTCTTGGAACAGCATTGTCACAACTTTGTTAACAAGCTTGCTATAAACCCGTTGAGGAGATATCTTGTTGACAAGTTGTTAAAACAGCATTGTCACAACTTTGTTAACAAGCTTGCTATAAACCCGTTGAGGAGATATCTTGTTGACAAGTTGTTAAAACAGCATTGTCACAACTTGTT